TTTATTGTATGTATGAATCACATAACTTGTCATGTACATTTCGATCGTGGCCCGGGTCCACTAATATACTTGAACATATTCTAACTCATATATGAATAATATATAAATTTGAGAGTTACATTTGAAAAACTCTACGTAAGCACATGATATTGTTTAGACTCCTGCTCAACACTCCATAACATCCACCACAGATTTGTTTTATACAGCATACTTTCACAGTTGTTACTTACGTAAGGTATGTTTCATGTGTTTACATCTCAATTATAAACCAAATGACGTTAAAATAAATTTCAATATGATTAGTGACCCGGCCACGATCGAAATTACATGACAAGTCAATGTTTGACTTCATAGCATACATAAAATACAAAACGTGTCGGCATGCATTATTTGAAGAGGTTAAATATACACATAGAGTGTATAACAAACACTGACAAAAAAAGTTAAAAATAATAAAAATACTTAATAAGTAATAATTTGGCTTTGTTTATATTATAGTCCCCCAATATGTTCCTGCTTTTTATACTTGCTAAGTTGCAGATGAACGTATTAAGGCCTTTGCATGCAGTGCTTAAAGGCGTGTTGCATGGTTATAGCTTAGCTTACCTTGAGAAGAAAATGTCTTTACAATCAAGTAGAAGCTCCATTTAAAGGAAGTAATCTGTACCCATAAACTTCTCCAGACATACTGTAGATGCCCGGTCTATCTATTTACCTGTCAAGCCCCTAAATCTTCATACAACTAGAATGTTAGAGATAATTTATTAAATGTTTGCATAGTGCTTTTAAATAAGTGTGAGTGTTCCTCCTGTAGGGCTGGCTGTGTGAGCTGCTGCGTTGGAAAGAGGATCCCAACCCAGATAACCGGACCCTGTGGGAGAACCTGTGCATGATCCGCCGGTTCCTCAGCCTGTCGCAGACCGAACGAGACGCCATCTACGAGCAAGAGAGCAGCAGCACGGCTCAGCAGCACTCTGACAGGCTGACACTGCTCAGCAACGACAGCACACTGGTGAGAGAGCAGAGACAAGATAAACACAGCATCACAACACACACACACACGCTGCTCTACACACTCTGACTCTGTATATCTTGCTTGTCAGATATAGAAACAGCTGTTAGGAATACATTAAAATGGAAACACAAGCAGCAAGGCTAGCAGATAAATAACTCTGGTTAATAACTTTTCTAAATCGTCATTCTTTTGTAGGGGAGCCTGCTCTTATCAAGAGGTGATCTGACTTTGTTCTTGGAGGCACTTCTATCTGTATAGGAGAAGTGATTTATTAGTACTGTAATATTATTCTTCCAGAAATGTTGAAAAGAATGTGTCACATTAAATGCCAATAGATCTCTGGGGTGTTCAAAGTAAAAGGAGCAGTAATGGCAGCTAAATGCCAAATATGTGCAAAAAAGAAAAAGATGATTGCCACGTTAGGCAATGATCTGTAAAGCTTATTAGTTACTAATCTTTCACATAGCTTCTGCATGGATAGATGGCTTGATTAAAACACAGACCTTATATTTAACATACAAAATTCCTATGTATATCTATAGTACACTATGTTACATTGAATACTATTGTATTTATAGCAAGACAAGAAGAATTTGTGTCTGCTGCCCTCGACCACACATACAGACACACGCTAAAAAGTACATACAGATTTAAAGAGCATATTTCATACACAGTTTCATATCAATTGCGTCAGTAGTTTTCCTTTATTTTGCTTACAGACAAGCATTACATCCCTGCCAGAAGTAATAAGTTGTTATTAATACAAATATGAAATCCAAAAAGAACAAATACAGCATTTTCCTCATATTTTCTCTTCTCCTCTTGTCAGTACCAACGCCACTCTCCTCTGCCGCAGCAGCACCATCTCCAGCCCCATCAGCCCCTGCAGCCAGAGGCAGGACCTCACCTGTCTCCACGGCAACCATGTGCTGCATCACCAGCAGAGTGTGAGGCAGGGAACAACTGGGGGCACGTGAGGGTGCATCTGCAGGGCAGGGGCAGCAGTAATGGAGAGAGGGGAGACAGTAAGGACTGGGTTGAGGGCGAGATGAGCATTTTCGGAGGGGACTGGGGTTGTACTGGGAGGGTGAGGGAGAAGGGTATGGAAAGTAAGGAGCAGGTGAGGAATGGGAGTGTTGGGGAGGAAGGGATTAGTGACATCATTAGAGAGTGCAAAGAGGAGGTGAAGCTCACTATGAAGTGGCCCAGCGTGAAGGATGAGGAGCGAGGTGAGGCTGGGGTGTGTTTAGAGGCAGATAGTGAGGTCCAGGGGTTGAAAGTGTCCCATGAGGCTCTGGGAATCCTGCAGAGCTTCATTCAAGACGTGGGACTCGACCCAGACGAAGAGGCCATACACACCCTGTCCGCTCAGCTGGGCCTGCCCAAACACACCATCCAAAAGTTCTTCAACAGCCAGGACCATGACCGGCATCCACACCACACCCAGAGCCCGAAACTGAGTCAAAAACACGGCTTCACGGACCCAAACCTCTCCCAGACAGTCATACCTGCAGAGGAACAAGAGGAGGAAGGTGATGGAAGGACTGAGGCAGAACTAAAGGAGGAGCAGGAGGAGAATCAAACGGGGAGAAATGAAGCAAACGGGATTGATGTTTTTAAAGATTCTGATGTTGGCACTCAAACCATTAGCACTATGAAGGAGGAGCACGAGAGCTACATATAAACTAATTCCATTAGACTTTTGCTATTTGCTATTGGTTGTCCTTAAATCCTGTGGAAAGACTAAAAGCTGACTTTCTACCACAGCCTTAAGGATGCTACTGCTACAATAGAAAGCTCTCATGTGATTTGACCCCTTCTGCAATTGAGACAGAACATAACTGTGACTATATGAGCAGATGATGTCTCAACACATTGGTTCTGTGTTGTGTCTGGATGAATGGGACCTGATAAAAGAGCCTCAGATAACATATCACTGTGTAAAAAAGGGTTATTATATTTGGTCGGTGAAATGTTCAAGCCAGAAATGCCTTGTAGAAAGTGGCACTGCCAATCTGTTTTTTTAAATATACTGTATACTTTGTTTTTTAAAATTGTGATTTGTGTTCAAATATTCGTAAATCATTTAAAACGGTTTCCTTCAGGAATCACACTGGTATATCTTACATTGTCGTTATTTGTCACATTGTAATAAATCCTGATTATGTTAGTTGAATTTGTAAATGATATATAGCATTTAATCCTTTCATAAATGACAGGAAAGTCTCTGCATTGTTACTGCAGTGTTTAACAAAGGTGACCGAATGAGTTACTGATTAATCTAAACTGCAAATCGCTCCTTTTTTGTTCAACTTTGATCACAGAGTTGGTAAAGATCTAATTTGCTCCTGAACACATCATAGTTTACATACAATGTTTCTGTTTATGCATGAACCTAAAAATCTCTCTCCTAAAATAGCTATGGAGTGTTTACACATCTTGCTGTTGTCATATTGTTCTTATTTACAGCAGAGACACAAAGCGTGCTGTATGGAGTGCACAATGTTCAATATTTCTTCATGAAAGAACGGGTGTGGACTAGAAGTGTGAGACTGAAGACGTGCAGTGTGTACATCAAATGTCAGCTCTATCATTTGTAAACATAAGGACGTATTCATAATTTGACTATGTGTATTGTGAAATTCAGATTTAACCATTTTTTTTCACAAACAATTTCACTGCGATAAATAAAAAAAATGTGTTTTGGGATGGAAGTAAAATGTTACATTTGAAATCCCTTTATTTTATTTATTTAACATCACCCACACAAACAGGGACATAATGTTTACTACCAGGAATGTCCGATTTGAACCTCATGTGATAAAATCTGCGGGAACACAGAGGCTGTGATAGCTTGGAGGGCATTGTGCTATTCCTTTTCTCTGGTTATTTTCCTCCTTAGTCGCAAAATATCAGCAGATGGTATTTGCACTTTGACTATATTTAGTGTGTACGCAATGTATAGAATTGGATTTGGGGACATTTGAGATTTATCAAGCAGGAAAGAATTTCCAAAACAAGTAAATAAGAGATGAAGCTCATTTATCAGAATGCTATTTTAGGATAAGCAGAAGCCAGCTGTAAAAGACCCATTAAAGATGAAATCAATCGTTGTGATGCTCACAGTCTGTACCAGAGTTAGGGATGATGAATTTCTGTTATATAACTACGTCTTTGTTGATGAATTGCTGTCATTGTTTCCATCCATGGGACAATATTCTACAGTGCTGATCTCTCTCTCTCTGTACCAGTGGATCTGTGTCTCTGCAATCACATGCCCCTCAGTGCTGACGGTGTTTCCTATCTGTCTCTTTTTATTCTTTTATTTTCCGAAGTTTCTATTTCTATCCATGTTTCCGTCTCTCACCCCTGACTCTCATCTGTCTCTCCTCAGGACTCTTCACAGTGCAGCTCCCCCACTATTCTCTGATAGTGCAACATTCAAGCCCCATTTCGTCAGAATATCTTCATAGAGTAATTCAATAAAGCTATGCCCTTTTTCTGTCATCTGTTTCCATGACGATACCTAAGTCTGGGCCAGTAAGGGGCCATGAAAGCCTCATCATCAGCAATATTAGCTATAATAATGATGATAATGGCGCTCTTGAAATGCCATGCCTGCGATGATGATGATGGTAATGGCAATGATGGTCATTATGTCTGCTTTCTGGTAACCCCCACTAACACAAAAACACACACACCAATGCACACGTTTGACTCAATATTGCTTTTTAATGTCATTTTTTTTTTCTTCACATGGACACCTGCTTTTTTTCTGTTGCATGACCATCCAGCTGCTTGGTTTTTGTGTCCTAGTTTTTCCTTGGGGCAACACTTTGTGATAAAGGTGTTTGATGCAAGCACTTTGCAGATAAAATGTACTTGTCTGACCTCAATTTTTTGCAATTAAGTCTCCATAAAACTGTCTTAATTAATAAACGTACCCTAATGTTTTAGAGCCCCGTCAATCTGTTGTATTTCTTCTTGTTAGTGTAATACAACACAACTTTGCATACATCTCTCTTTCATACTTTCTTTCTCATTGACACAAACTATGAATGTTTTTGTTAAAAACTAGAATATTCTAATTTATTATTGATACAAATGGGAACATCCTCGTAGTAACCTCAAACATTTTTTAAACATGTGGTAGGATTTACATGTAGTTGTGAGGGGACAGAGTAAAGGGAAATTCTATAACACATAGGTTTGAGCAAGCTCTCTGATTGGTCAATAGGCGTGTTTGATTCCACGATCAAACAACGATCAAATAGAACGTGCCTAATCACAAAGTATCCAGTGGCCTACACACGCCGCTAGCCTACCGAAACTACTTCCATGAGCCTACATCGTGTGGTTTCCATAGCGACGTTTAGCGACACACAGCCGTTACACTGTTATACATTGTCTCTCGTTGGAATTCGGTAGCTACAAAATGTCAGATTTTAAAGTTAATTTTGATTTGTTGGGGGGCCTCAGTATTGATGAATGGTTGGACATGGACACAGACCACAAAACCAACGAAAGATTTGTGGCTGTTTCAACTGACGAGTTGAGTGCGTTGGAAAAAAGTCGACTCCAGTACAGGCGTACGGACCTCGGCGCTGCCGCAGTACTGTCGTACCAATAATGACGTTCAAGAACGGCCTCTCGTGTGTGATTGCTTAAGTGTAGGGCTTCAATAAGGGGGTGTCAATTATCTGAAATATGCTCACCTAATTTCCTTTATGTTTCAGACCGTGTCGACATAACATAGATAAATGGGTTTGATAGGTTTGATTCCAATATCTACATTTATTCTTGAGCAAGATACTTACCCCAAGTTGTTCCTGGCATGATCAATGGTTTGTGAGTGTGTGTGAAGGATAGTCTCCCTTAGCAGGCGGCCCCTTGTGTGACATTAACTCATTGTGAATGAATGAGTTAATGTTTACTTGTATGTAAAACTGCAAAACTGCTATATAAATGCAAACCCTTTATCCTTTTAGTCTTTGTAGTAGACAAAGACTAAAAGGATTACATACAACTCAGTGTAATGCCTTAAAACAAGATGAGGCAGCCATTTTTAGTCATGTTTGAAAATGACTAAGACCCAGATACTTATTTAATTTATGTAAAGGTCTCAGCATTTCCACTTACTGCAGCCCTGCAGGCAGGTATCCTACATTTGAGACGCTGCAAAACAAGCCTTCACTCTGTGTTCACGTGATCAGTCAGCTGATCTCCAGCACATCCGCCTAACCCGCGACTGTTTACAAATCAGCAGACAGTCCGAGAGACACAGGATGAGGAGACCTGCGTGATCCCTACAGGTACCTGATACATACTGTCAGCCCTCAGCGGGTTATGGATAGCTATGTGACGTTACTGACACTTATATCAGCCTTTTGGTGTGTGTGAATTACGAGTGTGTCTCGTGGCTTGCTGCAGCTTGGTGTCGGAAGTGCAGACAGGCCCGTGCATCGGCTCGGTCACAACTTCCTAAAGTCACTTTACATTACCTGCTTCCTGACATCTGTAGTCACATTCCTGTCAACATTGATAACTACAGCTTGCAATTGTATGTTTATTTACCTAGTTTAGCCTACATTTAGCATTGTTAGCCGACCCAGGATATGAGCTAGCTTAGCTGTTGTTTGGCGTTTTGCCCTGCTGCTGGCATCGATAATCCATATGGTTGATATCACCATCGGTGTGCATGACAGAAGACGGACACTGCTTGTGTTTTACGTCAAATTATATATACATTGTCTGTGCTGGCTTTGGATAATTTGCGTCTAAACGGTTCCTCTTCTTGACAGGTTTAGTGTGTTGTGCCTTTTTTCCTCGGGCTGGCCCACCCTGCCTGACAGATTTAGTGATGTGTTCAGGGTAGTGCAGAGGTTTTGTAACAATCAGTACTGCCTGCCTGCATGCACGGTTTAATGCAGTTTCACACAAGTCTTCACACTTCCAATAACCAGTTCAGCACATACGTGTGTGCAGGGAGAGTATCGGCTGAATGTCTGCAGTACAGAGGAAAAACACTTTGACAAAGGCACAAATCAGGTGTTTTAGTGACCGTCACAGACTGCACAGTAGCTGTCTATTGTGTATGGAGACAATAGATAACATTTAATACATATATGGGAACTGTTTTTAATCTTTCTGAACTCCACTGCTGTTCCTACAAGTTTCTAAGTGTTTCTGCATGTTTTAAGCGTTTATTCTTGCACTGCAGGTTTTCCGCTGCTGCAATTATTCCCTACCTTCTTGGCTTTTGACATACTAACAATGTGTACTCATGATCACTCAGCACTGTTGCATACGTTTGTGATGTGTGAGCAGCTTTTATCAAATATCCTTTTGCAATTATCTAGCAATTCACAAGCAAATTTGAAGATTAGTCTGAAAACGTCTTGTTGATCATCTAACAACCCCTTAGATTTATCTCGTGACTTCTTGTGGAGATATAGACCCCCAGTTTAGAATCTGTACTCTAGTTTTTGTACACCGACATATATTTGTCAGGTTTGATCTCTTGTCATGTATTTGATAATCAGATCAGTTAAGACCCAGCAAGTTCACTGCATTTTGCCAAGGTTGAGGTCTCAAGCATTTTTCCCAGCCTCTGGTGGAGCATGTGACTGTGAAGGCACCTGGGCTCTTGCTGTGTGCAGAAGTAGAAGCATGTGAGTTTGTTTAGCCGGGGTGTTTCACTTTGACTAAACTGCTATCTGCTGCTCCGACTGTAACTGCCAGGAACCGACCCACAAAATCCTGTTTTAATATTCATTCTGAAGAGCCCATGTACTGATTCTCTTTCTAAATCTACTTCACATCAGCAGCTCTGAGAGAGGTTAATGGAATAATAGACCAGTGGACTTGTTCATCTAATACAATTAATAAGTAGTCATCTTCATCAGAATATTTTCCAGAGCTGCAAACAAGGCTGTCATTTAGTCAGACGTCTATACAAAGATATGCAGACCCTCCAGCAACACATTTAATACAGTTTAATCTGGGTTTAGTTTCTGACTTGTTTAGCCTCTCTGCCTTTTTAGGTCAATGAGCTCAGAGCAAACTGAAACTTTTCTTATTGTCCACTTCAACGTGAGATCTCTAGCATCTGGTCATCCAGTAGTTTCACAAACAAAACCTGTCACTGCAATTTGAAGAAGAGCTGAAGTTATTTTTGTCATCTTTGCTGCTGTGTTAAAATGAACCCTCTTGCTGTAAAATAATCTCATGACCCGCAAGAATGTAATGCTTGCCTCGGTTTTGATCAAGTGGGAAAACAAGAGTGACGTGTTAGCCTTCAGTGACAGTGACATTTTTAAGAGGCTCTTTTAGACTTTTTGTAGTTTACCCTGGGAGGCTAAGGGGGGGTTGACCAATCACAACAGAGCTGGCCAGCTGAGCTAAACAATCAGAGCAGACTGGGCTCTGGTTTCAGACAGAGGGTGAAAAGAGGTGCTGCAGTACAGGAAATATGAGAAAAATAAAGAGCTTTTTGAACATTATAATATAAACATGTCATAGTAGACATACAAATATGAACCTCAAAATAGCAAATACGTCCTCTTTAGGTTGCTTTGAGATTAAATGTTTGTTAAAGTATAAAGGGAAGTGATATGTTTTGTAGCACCGATTGAGATTCATTGAAGGAAGTGGAGGCTGACTGGCGGTTGACTTGACTTTGATATGCTTCCAATTTGATTTACACAACCCGAAACATCAGCTCTGCTCATTTTAAATCATGCTTGAGGCAACAACTTGGAGAAAGATAGTGGTTGAGAAATGTTAATGTTCGTAACATGGTAATGGGATGGCTACAGTTTGGATTGAGCTTCACGGGCTGTTGTTGGAAATCCCACGAACGCATCTTCTACCTTCCGAACAGATGGACGCAGTGTTATTTGTCTGTTGATTTATTTATGCATTTCATTATGTATTGATTTGATTATTTCATGAAAGATTCGTGATTTGAATTATTGAGCTGTCTCCAGGTGCTGTGGATTAAATTATGCAGAAGCTCATTTGCCTTGATTATCATGTAGTAAAGTTAGGATGTCGTTTTACGGTCGACTCTGGGAAGAAGTAATGAAGGCAGCAGGAGGCTAGGAGAAAACTAGCTTCAGGCAAGAATCGCTAACACTGCAAGGCCTCGGGTCTTTTAACCACATCATCTTTCATTCGATTACAGAGGCTTACACACAAGACATCCTCAAAGGACAGGGAGCAGTGAGAGATGTGAAAAGGCCTCTTTAGAAACTTTAATTTGACTTTATTTTTAGAAAAAGGGACAAAGTGCTGGATGTGTTTGCGGGCCTGTAGGGAAAATGTACCTGAACATATTTTTAGACACTCTGCAATGCAAATTAAGGTGACCATTGTTGTATTTGTAATTACTCAGGAGAGTTTGACACATCTTTAATGGCAACCTTTCAAAGGAGAACTAAGACAAATGGCTATTATTGTAGATACCTATTCACACCACTCCTCTGTCTTTCCCTATAGTTGTGGATTAGTTCTGATTATTTAATGGGATGATATCCTTATTATGAGGGAAGGGAGAAAAACCCCTCTGACTTAAGGAGAGTATTATTCTTTGAGGAGAACAGATGTTTCCTAAGCAAACAGACACATACATTATGCATATACAATTATTTCTATTTTGATGGCATGCATAGCTGATTGATCCAGCGGTGTCCCTTTCACATGGTTAATAGGTTTAAGAGATGCCTTTGTTGTGTTATTTCCACAATTAATAAAGCGGCAGGAAACATAATGCTCTGCGGAAAGCGTGCTATTCCGAAGGCCTGTGTATTAGGCTAACCATATTCATAAACGTGGAATAATCCCAAGCCGGATAAAGAACCGGGGAAGTATTGTTTAACCCAGATAGAGATATCTCAGAGAAAGTTACACTTTTCTCGTAGCCGGGATTGTTGGCAAAGATGAGTTGGCCGGGTTTATCTGCTAAAAACCATTACTATTGATTATTGAGTTTTAAAGATATCCTGCTTTTTCTGTTGCCTAATGCACGATTTGAGCTAGGGCTGTGCAATTAATCGTATTTTAATCTCGATTACGATTTTGGCTTGCAACGATTACGAAAACAATGTAATCGAAATAAAAAAAATATTATTTTTGAATAATAAAAAATGTATATATATTATTTTTTTTATATTTTTTTATTGTGTTTTCAGTTGAATTAAACTTAAAGTTCAGGGTAATCAACTGTTAAAAACATAATGTTCAACATTCATTTTTCAAAAAATTGATGTTTTCAAAGTAAATAGATAATCGTTTTTAATAATCGTGATATCAATTATTGACCAAAATAATCCTGATTATGATTTTTTTCATAATCGAGCAGCCCTAATTTGAGCTGTAAGCTAATCTTTATAAATTGTCACATTTACCCTATCTCCCTCACAATGTGCAGTTTGTCTGATGCAATAATAAGTGTGTTTAATAATAACTCAGACAATAGTCAGAAACTGCCATTATGATTTCACGAAGCCCAAGGAAACATACGTCTTATTTGCTTCAAATAGTCAGTTTAGTAACACGTCATATGTGTATATAATGACATTTAGGCAGTTAGTATGAAGCACTTTCAAGCTAAATATCCATACGTTAGCCTATTAGCTGTTTTATGACTAATCGACAGCTCCAATCAATATAAATAGAAAATGTTTTTATTGTTATTGTTTGTTCTTTTTTTAAACTGTAGTTCTTTAATAACTCCTCATTCAGAGTTGATATTGTTTACGTGTATTGTGAAGAACAGTCTGTTGTCATTCAAATATATAATGAATGCATTCATTTACCTACTTAATTACCTCATTAGCATTACCGCTTATGTTTAATATATCACAGTGAGCATGGCGAGGCAGCTCAAGTGCTTCATGTTCGTTTAAGCCACTGACGGCAAACACTGTCACTCTTTCATTTTAAATGCAGCAAAGTTGTGTTAAATGCAAAAGGTAAATAAACAGTTTAATCCTCACAATGCAGAAAATAACAGAAAAGTTATTAGTTGTACTCAGAGAAAAGCATTGATGGAGATTTATGTCATGTCTTTTTATCAAATCTGAACGTCATAACTTTGGGTTAGAGTTAAGTAGTTGTCAAAGCTTTATGCAAATTAAGTTACTATCTATATAAATGCGATACACACCACATCATTTTTTTCTTTTTTTCTTCACACAATTCATGATTTTTCTTTATTTCTTTGCCATTGTCTTCACTTCCCTGTGTGCTGAAGTGCTTACATTTTATTGTTTCTTTTTTTCTGCAGAGACACCCTTTTCTTCAGAGTCTTGGCAGAGGAGAATCACGAGGCTGTGACAGTAAGTCCAGAGTTTAAGCCGTTCAACCGTGTTAATGTTAATGGCAGGGGAAAATGCAATGCAATGCAGTGCAGAGATTGATGTGGATGGATTTTACATGCAACCCTTCCTACAAGGGGGTCAAAGGTCAGGGTCAGAATAACACTGCTGCTCAGGAAAGCTTAAGCTTCAGATCAATTGCAAGCCCTGATCAAAGGTCAGTTTCCTTATCAGTAGAGCTATTGTGCTTTGACATTTTGAGTTTTTGGATTGTTCTCTGAGTTGCTTCACATAACCCACGTTGGTCCAGCTGATCTTCTAGGTGATTTGTTGCACTCAACTCAGATTTAATCCTGGTTTCTAACTTCCTTTTTCCTGCTTCTTCTCTGGTCTCACTTTCTCCAGGTCCGGCTGGGTTGCGGTCATGCAGCACCCCAATTTCGAGACCTGCCACCCGCTCCAGACCGACGAGCAGCAGGAGACGGGCTTCGACCCGCTCAATAACTTCAACAAGAACCGCAGCAGTACGTCAACCCTGATACACCACTAGATTAGGATTTAAACCCTCCAACACAACCTGTGGAAAAAAATATGTAATTCTGTTGTGCTGATACAGTTCCTAATTCCTCTCTATGGATTTGTGTTAACATTTTAAAGAACCAGGCACTAGATATTATGTTAAATCCCTTCATAAAAGCTGCTCTTTCACTCAAAGCAAGGACGCAAGGGCGCGTTCACACCTGCCTTGTATAGTCCGGTTGAATCGAACCCTGGTGCGTTTAGCCGCTTGGTGCGGTTCATTTGGGTCGGTGTGAACACAGTCCGAGACCTCTTAAGTGAACTAAACAACCGGACTCTGGTCCGCTAAAATAGGTGGTCTCGGAGCGCTTGCTTGCGAACTCTGGAGCGGTTCATTGCTGGTGTGAACGCAGTCCGCACCAAAACATAGGAAGCGTAGTATTTACGTGTCACAAGAACGCGGATATCTTCAAAGTCTTCAGCAAAAGAGTCTTTCAAGACATCCGCGGTTGTTTAGTTAAAGAGTGAAGCAGAATGAAGTGTTGAACAGTGTCGTGTGAAGTAAAAATTCTCCGTCAGCTACATAAAATTAAGAACACCTGACGTCGGTGAAACGCCCTCCTGACTGCAGAACGTCTCTCATTATATGTGTTATAATGTTTTTTAATGGACGTTGTCTGATTATATAATCATATGCGCGGGCCGCTAGTGTCTGTTGATCTCCAGATTAACAGCAGCATGAGAATAACCTGCCAAAAGTGCCGATGCTCCCTGGCGGAGGCTCCGGTAGAAATTGCCGGGATTTACGTTTTTACCCCCTTAATGTCTGACCAATGGTTGAACAGCATTTCCGTGCACATGACTTGTGTTTAAAGTTTATAGTCCGTTTGAATTTTGCCCGTGTGAACGCAAACCGAACCTTCTGAAAAATGAAACCATGTAACAAACTGTGGTCTGGTGCGCACCAGAGAAGCGGACTATTAGGTGTGAATGCACCCTAGCCTGCACCAGACTTGCTGTATTATATGTTCTTTTACTCAGACTTTCAAAATAAAAGTTGTGTGGAATATTTTGGTGGTTATAGACAAATTTGTGTTTTCTGGACCAAGGGTGGTACTTTCAAAAAAAATCAATTTAGATCTGTGCTACCAACTGCACTTATACAAACGTTCCAACATCCCCAAACGCCCTACAAAGTTTGCTTCCTGTTTCGCTGACCTAACGAAGAAACCCAATCATCATCTTTCCCCATGGACCCTCACCAAATGTTAACCATAGTGTAATATATGTGTAATACTTTAAGAGAATGTTCCCAAATAACCGTTATGTACTGCACTGAAGAAATACAAAGTCCTGAGTTGGAACCGAGCAGAATGCCTGGAAAAATAAATTGTGCTACCGTTTTTGGAAGCAACCATACAATCGTTTGCAGCGTGAACTAAATTCGGCTTTATGACTATTTCCTGTACTACTCTCTACATTGCTTATTTTGAGTGTGATGTTGATGACACAGATTTTCCACCAAATGTAATGTAAAGCTGCTCACGACACACCACACACAACACCACACACAACACACACAACACACACCACACACACACACACACACACACACACACTCACACACACACACACAACCACACGAGCCACACACAACACACACACACACACACACACACCACCACACACACACACACAAGTCTTTAGAATGACAACTTCTTAAGAATATTTTTCGATGGCGTGTACACAATTCTAATATAAAGATTAGCATGTCAAATGGAATTGGGATGTCAGGGGTGCTCCCACTGCTTCCTTTCATCTGCCATTAGCTTTACAAGAGGACTTGTCACCCCTGCTCCATATGGAGTTACAGCATGAAGCAGCTTGCTGATTTTGGAATCATTCAATGTTTTTCTATATTCAAATTTTGGAGCAGCGGTGTATTAAAAAAAAATATATACCAATGACTTTCCTTCCAGATGTTTTATATGAAGACCCATTTCTTTGCACTGTATGCATCAACACATTGTTATTGATACATTATATTCCTACAGATACAACATTAATGCTTTCAGAAGTACAAGGTATTGCTATCCAACGATGCCTCTGAGACTTTTTATTTAATGCTTTCTTCTTTAACCTAATTCTTCATACGTTCCACACCCTCATGAACCCTTCATCCCCTTGAGGGTCCCCGTATAAATGTATTAGTTATTAAACATTTATAATATTTTGTCCCATTTGCTGACAGTTAACGCTCATTTTCAGGATGGTGTGGCCCACAGGGAATCGAACTCTCCCCGGGCTGTGTTGGTGGCTTGCTCCTCTATTAAGGACAGCGGATAAGTAAACTGCCTACTCCTCGGCATAAAGAAAAAAAAATAACAACCGAAAAAATGTGGAAATGCGAATTTGAAGTGATAAATCAAACCTATAGAGGATCGTTATGTAAATGCTAACCTTGGAGGGCAGGTTTCACTTAGTACTGAATAGAGGTGTGTGTATGTGTTTTCCTATCACACACACACACACACACACACACACACACACCACACACACACACACCACCACCACACACACACACTACACACACACAACACACACACCACACACCACACACACACTACCAACACACGCCACACACACACACACACACACAACACATTGTACGCTCCTGCCCAGCGGACCCAAACAAAACTATCTTCCTCTCCCTTATCCTCCCAGCACAGACAATCCCTTCTTTCTTACTGTCTTTTAACTACGATCAATACCAAACAAACAAGTGTTTTTTCTTTCCTTGAAATCTCTCTTTCTGACACTATCAAGCGGCCAACCTCTGTGGAAAGATAAAGGTCAATGGCAAAGTGGTTTACATATAAACGTAAATCACAGATTACTAGAAGAAGCCCAATTGTATAACTATGAAACATGTCCCTAACCGTTTTCCTATGAGTTATAACCACAGAAAAATGTGTGATGAGTTTATGGTCCAATCCCAGTAGTTTCAAAACTCATTCATTAGGAGCGTATATTATATTTAGTAAATCATGCTCTATTCAGAGTCAAATGCCGCTGACAGGTCCTCATAACAATGCCCTTTCAGGACTTGGTCAATCCAGTCAGCACATTCTTGGTAAGCCCAATATCACCAGTTTACAAAATGCGATTTCATATGTTAGTTCACGTTTTAAAGCTGTCATACTTTCCTTATGTTGTACTCATACAGAATATCCGGAATATTGTTTTAAATTTATAAAAAGCAACTTAAAAGCAACACGCAGCAAATATCAATGAAGCTCAGGAGCTTTAAAATCACCTAATAGTGCCACAGGACGGCGTCCTAAATACGTTTTTCAAAAGAAGGAAGAAAAAAAAACTTAAAGTGCGTATTCACAGGCTGGACCCGTATAAGGATCTGTAATGGCTACATTTTTAGATAGTTTGCTTGAACAGAATATATTTTTTTTTTGTAGATTTGGCAGTCTGGCTATTCCGCTAATCTGTTTAGTTGCCATGTTTGGATACTCTTCCTTATATAATTTTTTCTCTGTGGATGTTTTTGGTGCTCATTGGATTGCTTTGACAGAAGAGAGACAGGGAGAGAGGGGGATATTGCTGTAACTAATAAAGGCAAATAATATGCAAAGACTGAGGTTCTCATCACAGTAATATTTCTGTATAAACTCATCAGGCTGACAGAATGATAAAATAAGATCCAGTTATGCAGCGTGTTTTCACTGCATTCCTTCAATTTGTTTCTGCTCTCCATCGTTCTCTGAGAGAATCCCTAATGTCTAGGTATATAAGTCTTGGTTGCCAAATACAACGTACTTTTGCACTTTTTGGATGCCAAGTTCCTTTGAGAAGTCCTTCTTCGACTGAAGATTGGATGGATGTACAGACATTGGGACAGCCTGGTGATCCTGTGACCTTTCCTTTAGCGCAAACAGTGGGTTCACATATGGGTTTAGAGGTGTAATGTCTCAAAAATGATTAGATCGGTTGCCAGAATGTAGTATACACATATTGTCTTCGTAGGAAGTATGTAACACCTTAGACCCGTGTCCAAATAACGCGTAACGAAAATACGAAGAGGAGAAAGTTGTGATGAAACTGTTTTAGTGAATTCAAGTGCCATATACTTAGCTGCTTTCCTGAAGACCATAATCATGTCCAACCAGATATCTCAGTGAACACACACCACACACACACACACACACACACACACACAACCACACAACACACACACACACAGCACACACAGCCCCACACACAGCACACAACACCACACACACACACACACACGACAACACACCCCACACACACACACACAAGACACACCCACACACACACCACACACATCACACACAACACGTCAGTGAAGGCGATGCCGAGACATGAAGTCCTCTCGTTCCTCTTCCGCACGTCAGAAGCATTTTGCCGGGCTCGATTAATCGCCGCAGCGAGCCGTTCCGACGCACCCCCAGTCGGCCCGGGGGCTTGCGCGATCCCTGCCGCACTGCACTCTGAT